ATCTAAATTGATATTTTGTCCATGATCTCAGAATCAAAAGGATATTCGAAGAATCCTGAGAGAAGTTATTAAATTCTGCATTTCTCTTTTTTAAAGGAATCTGTATACTGTGTTGTGTGTGAATTCTCTTATTATCATCACTCTCCATTCTCATTGTAAATAGTAACAGAAGGCCAATATAACAATAAGAGGTTTAAATGCAGAGGGAGGAAACAGTTCATGAAGAATTAGTAACTTAAAATGAGTCAGTGTGAATTAGGGATGGATTTATTGAATAGAATTCAATAATAATCTCATATTCAAGGTCATATTCTAGCTTCTACTAATGAACTAATTATGTTAGCACAAATGCAGCACAGTTCATGAACGATCACCAACATTTAGTTTTATCACAGATCTCAGTCACCAAGGATGACATTAGGTGTATCTAAATAGATTATCAAAGAGATTTTCTGAGAGTGTTTATAGCACCTATGGGTTGCCAGAATGGGCATCATTTCAAATATTGTTTCAGAGAGATAGAATAATCCTGAACTTAGGGAGACACCTACAGGCACAGTTGAAAAAATAAAATAAAAAGTAGGATCTGAGAGTCAGAAAACAACATTTAATCAGAAAAACCAAAATAATCTTCTTTGAAAATACTTTTGAATGCTGAAAACATTTTTTTATAATAAGCACAAATTAGACAAGAATATCTTAGCAATAAATGTGTATATATATATTATCTCTCAACTTCAGGCTAGTTATAAAAATCAAACTTTGTCAATGGTCTAAAGCACGGTCCATAAATGTTGGAAATGGGTCAGGATTTATCAATTGGTAGAAATAACCCTAGTTGCTGTCATCATTGTTATCATCATCTTCATCATTTTTACTGAGTGTCTATCAAATAAAAACAAGTTTATTTAGATATTCATCACTTTGGTAAGTTTTTTCCCCTTATTTAAAATAAAAATACTTCTGGTAGAGCAAACATGGTCTATGCTAGCACATTTATGCCTTAACATAGACTCCCCTGGTGGCTCAGTAAGTAAAGAATCCACCAGCAATGCAGGAGACACGGGTTCAATCCCTGGGTTGGGAAAATTCTCTGCAGAAGGAAAAGGCAACCCACTCCAGTATTCTTGCCTGGGAAATCCCATGGAGAGGAGTCTGGTGGGCAACAGTTCATGGGATCACAAAGAGTTGAATATGACTTACCCACTAAATCACCAACCACCAGGACCTGTTTTTAAAAAAGGATTGTTTAATAGCATAAAGTGGATGGGAATTTACAGATACTAGTGGAGGATGGTGGTTACATCTAACATAGTCTTGTCTGTGAATATAGATTTAGAACTGTTATCAACCCTCCCCACTACCGCCATTACAAAACTCCCCACTCAGAGGGGGAATTCATCCTTTTTTCATGTTACTTTACCTCTCCTGCTTCCATGCAGGTTTTGCTCAGAAAGTATGCCTCTTCAAACCTCTCCTCCACTTCTGATATTACTACTATAATATTTATATAACACAAATTTCCATTAAACTGCAGGGAAAGGATTTCAACATCATTCTAAAGCCTGACACACTTCCAAAGAAAGAAAAGCTTCTAAAGCTCTGATATTGACCAAAAAATCATTAGAAAACAAATCCTGTAATTCAACCTTTTCCTAATGTTGACATTAGGGCTATCTATCCAGTTGTGAAATCACTGCACATTTTAAAAAGGGTCCACAAAAGAACAACTAAAATGAGTGATGGAACAGCAAATTCCACACAACAAATACCTAAGGATCGAGAGCCTACTTTTTTTTTTTAGATAAAAGTCAGATTCTGTCAATTCAGTCTTCCAATATAAGATCATAGCCTCTCCATCTTTTCCATCTCTGAACAGCACCTAAGCAGATAAGCTTAGATACTTAGAATTTCTCTAGTATATTATTGCAACAGTCAAGTCTTAATTCTTATCTCCAGTCTTGCCTCCATTAAAAAGGCATCTTTCACACAGCTGTTATGCTAAAACTCAAATTTCATCAGATTATTTCCCTGGTAAAAATCCTTATATGATTATCTTTATCTTCAGGATAAAGTCTGAATCCCTTAACTGTACAAGCCTCTATATGAGATCAGCCCCTGCCTACCTTCCCAGTTTCATGCCTTAGCATTCATTCCTTTTAAAATAATAACCCTAACATTTATAAAACATACCAGATACCAGGGCTGTCCTAAGTATTTTTAATGGTGGTAAACACATACCACATAAGCAGGTGGCACTGGTGGTAAAGATCCCACCTGTCAATGTGGGTTTGATCCCTGGGCTGAGAAGATCTTTTGGAGGAGGGCATGGCAACCCACTCTAGTATTCCTAGAATTCTGGTATTCTCCATGCGTGGAGAATCCCATGGACAGAGGAGCCTGGTGGGCTACAGTCCATAGGGTCACAAAGAGTTGGACATGACTGAAGCAACTTAGCATGCAGTACACATACACAGTATAAAGTCTACCATGCTAACCATTTTTAAGCATATATTTCTGTGGCTTTAAATACATTTATATTGTGCAATTATCACCATAATTCATTTCTGGAACTTTTTTATCTTTCCTAACTGAACCCATTAAACATTAATTCCCCATTTCCTGCTCTCTCCAGGCCCTAGCAAGCACATTCTACTTTCTGGCTCTATGCATTTGACTATTCTAGGTATAATAGCTCATATAAGTGAAATTGAGCTTCCCAGATGGTGCTAGTGGTAAAGAACCTGCCTGCCAATGCAGGAGATATAAGAGACACAGGTTCAATCCCTGGGTCAGGAAGATCCCTTGGAAGAGGGCATGGCAACCCATTCCAGTGTTCTTGCCTGGAGAATCCCACAGAGAGCGGAGCCTAGCAGGCTATAGTTCACAGAGTCACAAAGATTTGGACATGACCGAGTGATTTAGCATGCATGCATACACAGTGAAATCATTCAATATTTGTCCTTTTGTCACTGAGGTATTTCATTTAGCATAATGTTTTCAAGATTAATCTGTCATGTGTCAGAATTTCCTTTTTAAGCCTGAATAATATTCTCTTATATGTATTTATTACATTTGCTTATTCATTCATCTGTCAGTGGTCACTTGGGTTGCTCCCACCTTTTGGCTACTGTAAATAATGCTGCCATGAACATTAATACACACATATTAATGTACAAGTATCTATTTGAGTCCCTGCTTTGAATTCTTTTGGATACATACCCAGAAGTAGAATGCTGGGCAATATGGTAATTCTGTTAAATTTTTTTGAGCACTGTCATCTTCGATGGTGGTGGTTAGTTGCTAAGCCATGTCCAACTCTTAGCAACTCAATAGACTGTAGCCCAACAGGCTCCTCTGTCCATGGGATTCTCCAGGCAAAAATGCTGGAGTGATTTGCCATTTCCTCCTCAATAGTAGCTGCATAATTGTGCATCTCCACCAGCAGTGTCAAAGGGCTCTGTGATAGTTAATTTTATATGTCAACTTAATGGGGCATCCAGATTAAACATTATTTCTAGGTGTGTCTGTGACTGTGTTTCTAGATAAGATTAGCATTTGAATTAGTGGACTTGGCAAAGTAGACTGCCTTCCCCAATGTGAGTGAGCACCATGAAATCTGTTGAGGGCCTGAACAAAAACAAAAGGTAGAGTAAGAAGGAATTCACCACTTTTTTCCCATCTCACTAGTTTGAGCTGAGACATTGCATCTTCTCTGGCCCTTGGACTGAGATTTACACCATGGGCTTCCTTAGTTCTCAAACCTTCAGACTCAGACTGGATCATATCACTGTCTTTTCAGATACATACACAATAGCCCTTCTACACTCCTAGCTCATATCATCATTCTGGAGGAAGCCATGCTAAGAGCCTAAGAACTTTCATTTTACGGACTACTTATGAAGATCCACTCTCCTGGGTCTTAAGCCAAGCCCAGAAATAACAGGGTCACATGTTCATGTCTAAGAAGAAAGCAAAGTCACCTGAAGAATTTCTGCCATTTCTTTCCTGTCTCCCCATTCCAACTTCGGGTCTGACTTAATACCTGTATCAAAGTAATTCTGGTAGAATTTGGCTGAGGACCACAATCATAATATAGTCCCTTCATAAACACTCCTACTATTTTTTCCAAGATAGGCATAATTATTTTATTTACATATGGATTACATCTTCTAGTGTTTAAGTCAATTAAACCAAAATTAAAGAATAGGACTAGTCAAGGCTATGGTTTTTCCAGTAGTCATGTATGGATGTGAGAGTTGGACTATAAGGAAAGCTGAGCGCCAAAGAATTTATGCTTTTGAACTGTGATGTTGGAGAAGACTCTTGAGAGTCCCTTGGACTGCAAGGAGATCCATCCAGTCCATCCTAAAGGAGTCCTGGGTGTTCACTGGAAGGATTGATGTTGAAGTTGAAACTCCAATACTTTGGCCACCTGATGTGAAGAGCTGACTCATTTGAAAAGATCCTGATGCTGGGAAAGATTGAGGGCAGGAGGAGAAGGGGACGACAGAGGATGAGATGGTTGGATGGCATCACCACTCTGGGAGTTGGTGATGGACAGGAAGGCCTGGTGTGCTGCAGTCCATGGGGTCACAAAGAGTCAGACATGACTGAGCAACTGAACTGAACTGAAAGAATAGAACTAGTCAAATTGCTTTAGGCATTGTTTAATTCTTAAAACAGAAAGTAAACAGATTTACAAGAAATATTTCAAAGAAATATCACAATTGTTAAAAATAATACCTTTCTCTCGAGCTTCTGACAAAGTACTTAGCATGTATTATAGAGAGTTTTTAAGGATAATTTTAATTTTTAAAATTAAAATTAAAGTTAAACTATACACACACACATAGGATGACAGCATTCTTATAAGTCGGGTATTTTAATGTAAAGCTTTCAGGAAAGCACATATTAGGTGTTGAATAATTTGAAGACATGGCCTCTTTGATCATTACTGAAAGAATAGATTAGAAAAAAGCTAACCCCAAAACAGGATGTTATATAGACTGTTGCTTCTTTTCCAAACACTTCTCAATATCATCAAGCACCTGAACGGCAGCCTTTGGAATTCGAGTCCCAGGACCAAATACATTGGAAACACCAACTTCAAACAGAAATTCATAATCCTGTTGAAAGAATTTATTTTATTAACAGAAGAGACAATATTTCTATTTCAAGAAAGTGAAACAAAAGGACAATGAATGCTGTCCTTTCTTCTTTATCCTCAGTGCCGCAAACTTTCTCATCTGGTACACTACTGGCACTTGGGGCTAAAAAAATCCTCCATGACTGGGCCTGCCCCAACCCTAACCCTTACACTCCAAGACATTAAAAGAATAAAAGATCTGTTTCACCCTAGATAATATACATGTTTTGATGCTGTTCTCTTGAAACATCCCACCCTCACCTTCTCCCACAGAGTCCACAAGTCTGTTCTATACATCTGAGTCTCTTTTTCTGTTTTGCATATAGGGTTATCGTTACTGGGAGGGGGGACCGGGATGGGGAATACATGTAAATCCATGGCTAATTCATTTCAATGTATGACAAAAACCACTGCAATGCTGTAAAGTAATTAGCCTCCAACTAATAAAAATAAATGAAAAAAAAAAAACCCAAAAAAAGAATAAAAGACATTCTGCCCATTTCCCAAATACCTCAGTGTATTGTTTGTGGTGGGAAGCTGTATGGTCCACCAGCTGAGAACTTCTGGACCCTAAACCATATTACCTTACCTAAATTTTTACTATTTGCCATCATTTGTGTTAAATTTAGTATCACATTATAGGTTCAGATTTACAAGGCTATTTATTTCTTCCAAGGCGCTTTGTCTGCAGTTAGTGAACGGCAGTACTTTGAATCTGGCTTCATGCTGGAATTAGATATTCTATAAATGAAAATTGTTGTTGTTGTTCAGTCACTTAGCTGTGTCTGACTCTGTGTGACCCCACGGACTGCAGCACGACAGGCTTCCCTATCCTTCACTATCTCCTGGAGTTTGCTCAAACTCATGTTAACTCATTTGAAAAAAATTCTCTGTTGTTGTTGCTGCCGTTTCTTAGTTTGTTTTAAACACAAAGTTTGAGTGAAAAGATTCCCAGGCACAAATATTGTTCCAGGCTTTAGATTGTTTTAACATCAGTGTATTTGGAGCTATATCAAGTTTAGGACATGCTTTAAAGCCCTAATCCTCATTCACTAGGGTGATCATATTTCCAGGACATCCTGGCTTGTGCTTACTATTGCAATACCTTTTTTTTCCATGAGTCTTTTTTTTTTTTTTAAGGTATAACTGACATTAGTTTCAGGTGTACAACCTAATGATTCAATATGTGTATACACTGTAAGATGATCACCATGGCAGATATAGTTAACATCTATTACCTTAAATAAGTAAAAAAATTTTTGTGTGTGCACATATGAGTTTAGAACTTTTAAGATTTACTGAAAACCGTGTAACACTTTGAGCTCTTGGTAACTCTCTTAGTTACTTAGTACTTGAGGATTTCCCTGGTGGCTCAGTGGTAAAGAATCCCTCTGCCAATGCAGGAGACTTGGGTTCAATCCCTGGGTTGGGAAGGTCTCCTGGAGAAGGAAATGGCAACCCACTCCAGTATTCCTGCCTGAGATCTCATGGACAGAGGAGCCTGGAAGTCTACAGCCAAGGGGCAGCACAAGAATCAGACACTGCCTAGCACCCAAACAACAACAGTGTCCTCAGTCCTTGGTCTCTAAGCTACTCCTCAGCTACGTAGTTACTTACTACTCTCTTAGTAACTTTCAAATATGCAGTACGGTACTAGTAACCATGGTCACCACACTGTACATATATTCCCAGAACTCATTTGTTTTATAACTGAAAGCCTGTACCTTTTGGCCCCCTTTGCTCATTTCACCTACCCTCTGCCCGATGCCTCTAGCAACCACCAACCTGTTCTTTCACATATAAGTAAGATCATGCCATATTTGCATCTCTCTGACTTTTTTCACTTAGCATAAAGCCCTCAGGGTCCACCCATGTTGTCATAAATGGCAAGGAGTTTTTTTATGGCTGAATAATATTCCTCTGTGGATGTGTATATGTCATATTTTCTTTGTCCATCCATGTCCATGATGGACATTTAGGTTATTTCCATGTCTTGGCTACTGTAAATAATGCTGCTATGAACATGGGAGGGGGCGAATATATCTTTTCAGGCTAGTGTTTTTGTTTTCTTCCGATAAATATCCAGCATTAGAATTGCTGGATCATATATAGCTCTATTTTTAACTTTTTGAAAAATCTCTGTACTGTTCACCATAGTGGTTGCACCAATTTACATTTCCACCAACAGTGCATAAGAGTTCCCTTTTCTACATATCCTCAACAACACCTGTTAATTCTTGTCTTTTTGATAACAGCTATTCTAACAGATATGAGGTGATATCTCAATGTGGTTTTGATTTGCACATCCTTGATAATTAGTAATGTTGAGTATCTTTTCATGTACCTGTTGACCATTTGTCATCTTCGAAAAAATGTCTATTCAGATCTTCTGCCCAGTTTTTAATTGAATTGTTTGTTTTTGCAGCACCCTTTTCAGTAGTATCCATTTTTTATTCTCAAAACTGATCACATGAGATGATAAATTACATGGTCGTGCTAATTATCCCCCAACTACTTCTTTTCTGTCTCTATTATTTCCTTGTAATATTCTTGTAATACCATAATTCTGTAGTGGCACTTTACATATATTATTGCTATAAGTTCCACAATGGCAATGGTTAAATCATTTTGATTAACAGCCATACATTAGTGCTCTCTAATTTAAAAGCTAAGATACTTTCAGCTGAATAGTAGCATCATTTTATATATTTACTGAAAACAAGTAATGAGAAAAATGCATGGGTGTTAACTGACATCATTATATTAAAAAAGATGCCCATATTAACACACAAGTGTGTCATTATGAAAAATGATCCTTCATCTTTAAACTCATGAGGAAAAAGCACAGTAAACACCCACAGATGTTCTAGGTAATTTAAATATCCAGGGACTTCTATGATATATACGTCTTGAAAATGTCAGCCCCTTGTATGACAGGCCTGCATTTCTTCTCAATTTGTTTTTTTTAACACCAAGAACATTCTGTATTGGAGTATAACCAAAACGAATGTTGTGGTAGTTTCAGATGAATAGCAAAGGGACTCAGCCATGCATATACATATATCCATTCTCCCCCAAACTCCCTACCATCCTGGCTGGCATCAATTGAAAAATGCCACTACTTTGTATTGCCTAATTATTTGGGGTCTTACATTTTAATATAATGCCTAAGAGCTTAGGTATTAATATTATGGGCTCTAAAACCACAATACAGATAGAAGTGTTCCATAGTCAGACAGTAATAAAGAATTAAAACCCTTTATATTCTCAAATAATAAACTATACTTATCAAAATAAGAGGCAAATGTGCTAACAAAAACAGTTTTGTGTTGACTAATAAATAAAAATTAAATAGTCACTCAGTCGTATCTGATGAGCCACCAGGCTCGTCTGTCCACAGAATTCTCAAGGCAAGAATACTAGAGTGGTAGGCATTCTCTTCTCCAAGGGATCTTCCCCACCAGGCACTAAGCCTGGGTCTCCTGCACTGCAGGCGGATTCTTTACCATCTAAGCCACCAGGGAACGAAACCACTCTTGCGTTGACTATACCACATTAAGTATTGCACTGTTAGAAAGCAGTGATATACAGCTTGGTTGCCTGTCCCACACTATAACCAACCTCACAAGCTCATACATATGCATTTTCTCATTTCATAAGTAGCGTATACATTCATTATTTTATATTCTGAATTGTAACAGAAGGAGAAAAACTGTAGACATGGGCACAAAATCACATTTCACTGACAGGTTCCTGCTATATAGCAGTGGGGCCTTTGTAGTACATACGGTCATATACTTAGGAGCAATCTCATATACAGTTCTTGTAACTCAATATTTTTTCCATTCTCAGTAAAAACACAATTTGATATTATTAAAAACTGGATTGGAAATAGACCCAGGTTATATCTTAACTATTTTAACTGATCGGTAAGGTCATGTATCTGGGTCGGGAAGATCCCCTGGAGAAGGGATAGGCTACCCGCTCCAGTATTCACAGGCTTCCCAGGTGACTCAGATGGTGACGAATCTACCTGCAATGCGGGAGACCTGGGTTCAACCCCTGGGTTGGGAAGATCCCCAGAAGGAGGGCATGGCAACTCACTCCAGTATTCTTGCCTAGAGAATCCCATGGACCGAGGAGTCTGGCGGGCTACAGTCCATGGGTCACAAAGAGTCGGACACGACTGAGCGACTAAGCACACACAGCACAAGGTCATACATGGACAGCGTCCCTGTCTCCTTAATAAATTAATTATTGTTACCTAGCATCCATTTATCTTTTCCTAAGAGGATCCACATTCTTGTGGACCCACATCTCCGTTCAGCCATAATTTTCAGGACAGGCTGATTCCATTTATGTCTGAATTAGGTGTCTTTGGCTCTCAGAAAACTATATTCCAATTGAATTAGCTTCATTAAAAAGGGGGTTTATAGGGCCATGTAATTGATACAGTGCTAAGTTAGGGCAGCATTCAGGGATGGGGATATGGAGGAAATGAACAAGGTAGCAACTCTGAAACAACAGAAGCAAGTGCTACAGACTGATCAACTAAAGGACTGACTTCACTGCCAGGACGAGGGGTGTTCACACTTTCCCTGGGGAGCACTGATAGCCTCACTGTGTGTTCACCATTCTTCTCTATTCCAGTTGTGAGATTTTATTACTTTTAGCCTTTCCTTTTCCATCAGTGCTTACTGAATATGAAGAAGACAGATCTCTATCTAGGTGACTAATTTGGAGGGAGGCAACTCTCTCATAGAAGCATTATATATTATTAAATTATGCATACTGAGGGCTTCCCAGGTGATGCTAGTGGTGACGAACCCACCTGCCAATGCAGGTAGACCTAAGAGACACAAGTTCAATCCCTGGGTCGGGAAGATTCCCTGGAGGAGGTAATGGCAACCACTCCAATGTTCTTGCCTAGAGAATCCCATAGATAGAGGATGGACTACAGTCCATGGGGTCGCAAAGAGTTGGACACGACTGAAGCAACTGAGCACGCATGCATGCATACTGAATTATAATATAGTCTAAACAGAAAACAATACTGACTACTTTTGTAGAATTTACTTAGTAGAAGCACTAGGAAATAATTTCGTTCTAATTTGGCTCTAACTCTGCAACATATTTTTAGAGAAAACATACAGTAAATTAAATAATTACATACAAACTACTGTTACTCAGCAGTCCCAGTACAGTACTAGAAAACGTAGGAGATGAAAATACCTGCGGAGGTATCACTCCCCCACACATGACAAGAATATCTGGCCGTCCAAGGGCGTTGAGTTCCTTGATGAGCTCAGGAACTAGGGTCTTGTGCCCAGCGGCGAGGGTGCTCACACCCACAGTGTGCACATCTGCATCCACAGCCTGCTGGGCCACCTCCCGGGGAGTCTGAACAGTTACAAAGTAAAGACGCAAATCATCATTAATCCCAAAAAGTGTTTCTGAAGTGTTATAACTACTTCAGCTGACAGTCCAAAATTTTTCTCATTAAAAATCTTGATGTGAACATAACTTCATATTTCACCATTCTCAAATACCACCTCATCCAATTGTTGTAATAAATACCAGTGCTGTGTCTGCTTCTAGCTCTACCATATATCAATTAAATTTAAGTTATATCAAGATGAAGTTCCCCACAAAATCCTTAAGATAAAGTTGGGATATAAGCAAAATATATTATCTCTTCATTATAATTTTTTAAAAAATACATCTGTTGTCTTCATTACCAAAATTAACTGAAAGGTAACATGTGATAGGATCTATAAAGAATTAAAGACTGAACTTAAAATGCAACATAAAAAAGTGAACCTTAGGATTAAAAACTGAATGAGAAGACACAAGATGGTGGACTACGGAGCACCAGGACCTTGTTCTCCGATGGAAATGAACGGTAATATATGGAGCAAAACAGGGCTTCCGTGGTGGCTCAGATAGTAAAAGAATGCCTGCAATGCAGGAGACGCACATTCAATCCCTGGGTCAGGAAGATCTCCTGGAGAAGGGAATGGCTACACACTCTGATTTTTGCCCGGAGAATTCCATGGACAGCGGAGAGCCTGGCAAGCTACAGTCCATGGTGTCAAAGAGTCAGACACATCTGAGTGGCTAACAATCTCACTTTCACTTCATGGAGCAAAATAACAGGAGCACTGTAGAAACTTGTTAAGGGGCTACAGCATCCAGGGAAGTGTATAAACAAGAGAAGGGATGGTTCAGGTGAGGCCATGTCTCTCATTTTTTATCTTAGTTTACTAATAGGATATAAAATTATAAAGGGTGTTTTCAAACATTCACTTATGAATTAACAAAGATCACATCTCCTTTGTTATGAGTCCATAACATTGTTTTGATAATGTACATGAATTTAAATCATTTCATATAAAAAAAAGTACCTTCATGTCTCTCATGGTAAATATAATGTAAATCAAGACAGCTAGGAAAGATAAGGCCATCTGAGAAACCACTGCAAAATTATAAGCAGAAAAAATACTGTAAAAATTTGTGAATTTTCTTGGAGTTTGGCAAGATTTTAAGACTCAAAATTTTAGTGCAAAAACAAAGGATTCTATATTCATTAATTCTATTTTCCAGTAGTCATGTATGGATGTGAGAGTTGGACTATAAAGAAAGCTGAGTGCCCAAGAATTGATGCTTTTGAACTGTGGTGTTGGAGAAGACTCTTGAGAGTCCCTTGGACTGCAAGGAGATCCATCCAGTCCATCCTAAAGGAGATCAGTCCTGGGTGTTCACTGGAAGGGCCAATACTTTGGCCACCTGATGTGAAGAGCTGACTTATTTGAAAAGACCCTGATGCTGGGAAAGATTGAGGGCAGGAGGAGAAGGGGACGACAGAGGATGAGATGGTTGGATGGCATCACCGACTCAATGGACATGAGTTTGAGTAAACTCCAGGAGTTGGTGATGGACAGGGAGGCCTGGCGTGCTGTGGTTCATGGGGTCACAAAGAGTCGGACACGACTGAGCGACTGAACTAAACTGATATTCATCAATGGAACCACATTTAAGAAGATCCCAAGGAAAGTCATGTAACATATTGGTAAAACCTTGAGTCTATGAAAAATATTAACATGAAATTAAAACCTTTTAAAAATGTGCATATTCTTGCTATTATTTCTTAAAGATAAGGCATTTAATTTAAGCATGATTTGTTATTCATATTATCCATGCTACCAAAATTTATCAGATTAAAACTCCATTTGAATAATTCAGTTCCATGCCCTAAAGTCAAACTGGAAATTATCAAATATTGCAACTTTAAAAATATCAAATCTAATATTTTTATTAAATCAGTCATCAGAGTACTGCATGATTGTACCTTCAGCTACAGATAACTATAACTATTTTTTATCATTATTTTTTAAAATGATGCAGAATTACGGTAACAAAGCTGATGGTACCAAAAGACAAATTATATTTTTAGAGATGGTATTTGATGGGGAAATGAACTTTCAGTTATTTGTAAAATTTCTTTAGGTTCCAACGGCTGACAATAATTTTTTAAAATTCTTTTGTTTTATGAAAAAACATTTCCCAAAAGCTAACCACTAAATATTTGCATTATATTTGGTCACTATTTAAAATAAGCAAACAAATAAACTACAGCAAAGGGATAGCAAAGTGTGAATAAGAAAGTAGAATGGAAAAGTATTCAACTTAGAAGACTGAAAGCAAACTAAATACATTGTATACAATTTATTTAATATGAAATATATTTAAGATTCTTAACAAAACTCACATTAATGTGTCAGACTCTAAACACATTTACATATTAATCTACCTATAATACAGTTTAAGGACACATACCCAGAAGTCTGGGCTAACTCTTTATCGTAAGAATTTTTTCTAGCTTTTGTGAGTAACATCTTAAAATCCCAAATGGGAAAACTCTAGTGGAAGACTCAATAAAGGCTGGGCCTCGTGAGTAAGGTTTACTTCTTCCCCAGTAAAAATTCATGGAATACTCTTTAGTCTTCATTTCAGTTGACCTATCTGCAGCAGGTAACAACAGTACTTGAAATTCCTCCCAACAGTTTTCAATACCTGAAAAAGAGGACCAATATCCACATCAAAACCAAGATCAGCAAATCCTGTAGCAATAACTTTTGCTCCTCTGTCATGTCCATCTTGTCCCATTTTTGCCACAAGAAGACGAGGTCTGCGACCTTCACGTTCCATGAACTTCTCAACCCTAAGGAACATTTTAAAATATATTTTAAGGCTTAAGAGTCCTAAAAAAAAAAAAGAAAAGACAGTTTAGTGTTAGCAGGTGTGAGTATCACTTCTAGAAAGAAACCTTCAGGACAAGAAGTCAGTAAAGAAATAGCATCACAGACCTTCAAGATTATGATGTTATAGAAGAGTTATATTTAAGGGGCTAGCAAATAAAAATGAGAATGAAGGCATTAGATACCAAAAATTAAATAAAATATAATAGTTATACATTAATTGCCCAAAGGTAAGATCTAAAACTATAATTTACCTGCAGCAAATCTTTCAAATTTATATAAAAGCACCTAATCTGTTTATTCATATTTTATTAATATCTTTGTTTTACATCAAGAACTCAATTAAAGCCTGAATATGTTTACCATCTCCCACCCTAGAAGAGAATTTGAAAGACTGTAAGCCTGTAACACTGAGAACATCACAGTGAAGCAAGATGAGAAAACAACAAATTTACAACTTCTTAAGACAGTCTCCAGAGTACAATATGCAGAAATAGTAAAATATTAACTAAAAAATGCCTTTAGAATTATTTGTACATATTCTTGACTCACTAACTGTTTTGGACTGTCCATATCTCACTTACCATTCACAAGTGTGAACTCCTCCAAGTGGCCTCAATGTGATATCTTATGATAATGTATTATCAAAATAGTTGCTTGCTTAAGTCAATAAATGTACACCCCAGATGAAAAAGTACTAAGAAACAAATTTACTTTTGTTAAAAGAAAAAAACACATGCCATTTTGATGACTTTCACCTTGGCTCTTTTGATATTTATCTCATATATGAGTAGTGACGTAATTGTGGAAAATTTATTACAGAGGTTGAGAAAACCAATCATCAGGAAGCTACTACTCACACTACAGAAACATGGTCAATTTATAGTAATTCATATTTCCAACTCATGTTGGACTGTGTTACTTACTGTCAGTTCAGTAATGACTGATTTTAACTTATTCATAGAGGGCAACCAAATATTTACTTTCAAATAGGAAAAGCAAAGATTTTATAATTATTTGAGTGATTAAACAATGTAAATAAAAGTTAAGCAAATATAAAAGTGTACCATCTTAAGGATATTGAAATCTAAGTCCCTGGAGGATGTGAAGCAATATCAACATTAGTTAAACATTTAAGTGAGAAACTCCTAAAGGGGACTGTGGTCAAAGTTCAAAATATTATTTTAGTAAAGCTACAGATTAAGGAGGAAAGTATAAGTCAAATATGAATATTTTCCAGTGGTATGTGAGAAAATTAAGCCCACAGTAGATACATGAGGACCATGTTAACAGAAAAGATGGCATTCTGGTTTAAGAAATCTCACACATTACCTTTTGATAGCAAATGATATCTCTTTACTTTCTCCAAATTCCTGGCGATAGGCTCCACTCACCATACGATCATTAGCTTTATGTTCACCAAATACCTTTTTCAGGGCATCTGTGATTTCTCCAACTGTACATCTAAAATATTAAATGGAGGTTCTGACAACATCACTATTTGGGATATAATATTTATCTTAATATTCAATATACTTAGACTTATTTTATTACCACTGTCAAAAACCTAAATCTGAATGTTCTTTACTGGATTCATGACTGCATCTTTCCTCAGAATACTTATGAAAAAAAAATACTCTGGATACCTTTATACAATGTGATCTCTTTTCAACATTTGTCAACTGCAAAATGACCAAATGACTTAAAAACTACTAATAGACAAGTATCTAAAGGTTACTGAGCAATTCACTGCTTAGCAATATAAATGGGCAAAAAGCAATATTCCCAGTATTTTTTTGACAAAAGTAAATCTTTTATTAATAGCATATTTCATTTTTGTTTATTAATTCATTCAACATGTACTGAGTACCTAATATGGGGCACGCACTGGTAAGTGCTAAAGATATAGTGATAAATACAACCAAAAACAAAAACCTACTCTTGCAGAGCATATCATCCAGTCAGAGTATACACACAGTACACTAACGAACAAATAAATAAGATAATTTCATATGGTAATAAGTACTATGAAGACATTAAAATAGGCAAAATAGAATGAGGTGCTTGAGAAAGCTGTTTTAAAGCAGTTGAAGACAGAAGATACAGCCTTTGAACTAAGATCTAAATGATGAGAAAGAGAAACTCAAGGGAACTTAAGAGGGAAAAGTGTTTGAAAAAGGAAATGCTAAATGCAATGACTCTGAAAAGTAGGAAAATATATATTATGTGCTAAAAACAGAAAGAAGGAAATTGGGGACACTAATAAAGGAAGCAGGATAAGACAAGGTCAGAGAAGCAGGCAAGAGTCACATTCAGCTGTCTTACAAGCCATAGTAAGATAAGGTTTTAATTTTAAAGGAATGGGAGACCACTGAAGGATTTTAAGCAGAGAAGTCATCTTATTTCTTTTAAGAAATTAAAACTGAAAAACAAACAAACAAGTTATACACTATTCATTCTATCCCTTAAGCAGCTGAAACAACTTAAAAGTTCATTAATTATATTAATTATATTAAGCAATAAAAAATAAAAGCAAAACCAGTTTCTTTAGTGACATCATATATTGGGAGAAAAGATTTTGCAGGGTCACTTGCTTTTCTGCATGTTCTATAAGGCAAAGGACTAACTGCCTTTATTCTAGACTAACTTTTCAAAGATGTCTACATAGTACACAGCTCAGGAAGAGAGAGATACTGTCCACCTTTGACAAAGTGCAGGTTTGCTTATTGTGAGCATAATAATATCTTCCTATACTTGAAAGAACATCAAATTTGAACCTGTAAATCAGTGACATAGGTTTATTACAAGAGCTTCAAATGTCCTGAGCCACAGGGAAATACAGCTATACTCCATGCAAAATGGATGAATGTTTTTAAAACACAGATATTTAAGAAAAAAAAAAACAATTAATTTTGGTTTCCAATTATTTTCTTTTAGGTTCACATGGTTTATAGAGTCAATCTCTTATTTAAGACTGATTCTGAAAAGCTAAACTGGTCAACTTTTAGCATTTGGAAAACTTCAAACTTACATATCCTTTACCTTGCTCGAGTTGCATCTACAGCAAGAGCGAGAATATTCCCATCTCCACTGGCAGCACATGCAGTCAGAGCATCGAGACACCGTTCAGCCAAAGCATGATCCCTAGTGGATTTGACCTTACAGAAACAGGTAAGGAAGGGGACAGTTGGTGTAATTAGAAAATAAAACAGAGATCAGATTATACCTACACACACACACACACACACACACACGCACACACACACACACATATACACATACATAGACACACACATGTATCATATGGAAACTGTTTCAAAATCCTAACTTTAAAAGCAAAAGAAAAAAAAAAAGAGAGAGAGAGAGACAACATGTATCCTACATTTGGTATTCATTTCATATTCACTCCCTCAACGTTTAAGAACTTCTTTAAGTAATGGCAAACTCTACATAACATTGATAATTCAGAAACAAGCAGAGCAATAATAAATAATAGTGCTGACCCTCCCAAGTACTTAAGAGATCAAACTTAGAAATATCTTAGTTATATAATACTTTATTAGCTCTGGACCCAACCACATGCCTAAACAAAGTTACCTAAAATTCAACTTTTTACAAGTTTTCACATCTGTATGAGTCTAAAATATGATACTGCTTAAGATGCCACTAAAATTTTATCATATTTATAAGCAGAGGTGGATTAGAAAATTTATATTAAAGGCAAAGAACAAGCCAAATCCATTATCATTACTGAATTTCTCACTGTTATCTAAAAATGTTATATTATTATTTATGGTAACTCCATGCCCTCAAGTTGTGAGTTTAAGAAAATTTAAGTACAAGAAAGGAAACAAGGAGTTTTCCAAATATAATAAATATTGAGACTTTTGTGGTCACTGGAAATAGAATGCTACATCCTAAATAACACTCTTTAAAAAAAAAAAAGGCAAAAATGTGGGAGAGGAACAATTAACTCCTGAATGAGGTGTAAAAAGAAATAATATTAAACATCTGCCATTAACTCTAATAGAAAAAACAAACGGAAGATGAATGTTCTGCATATAGTCTAACTGGACAAAGTCTGTTAGATTCTTAAAAGAACACTTGAACTGAGGGGGGGAAGTGCTATCGTAATCACAAGGATAGTAAACAGAGAAACTCATTAAGGAACTTCAACTTTCCTGCCAGAGATTATGAGACCGAGTAGCTCCATACAATAGAAATATACAGGTTACAACAATAAGAATTAATATGTTTTATCTATTTTAGTACTTCATATACTTTGGTTCATCTCAGTAAGAAACTGGAAATAAAAAATTATACCAGTACTCTAGTTCCAATCAAAATAAACATCTTTCATTCTAAATTATATCTTACTGAAACACTATTCATATATATTTGAATTAAAAAAAATTGAAAGCAAATAATTATTTCATAGTAGTATCAGGAACACAAAAATAAATTACAGTGAGAAGACCTGGGTTCAAATATGGACTCTGAACTTAATCTTGTTTTTAACTTTGAGCTGTATAACCATCTAAGCCTTATTTCAAATCAATAAATTATTGATTTATTATTATTATGGAGCAGTTTTTTAATAAGAAGGGCTTCCCTGGTGGCTCAGAGGTTAAAGCGTCTGCCTCTAATGCGGGAGACCCGGGTTCGATCCCTGGGTCGGGAAGATCCCCTGGAGAAGGAAGTGGTAATCCACTCCAGTATTCTTGCCTGGAGGATCCCATGGATGGAGGAGCCTGGTAGGCTACAGTCCACGGGGTCGCAAAGAGTCGGACATGACTGAGCGACTTCACTTTCACTTTCACAAGTTTCAGAGAGGCAGATATTATGATTAAAAAGGTGAATGTTTAATACCAACAGACGTAGATTTGAATCTTGCTTAATTATTTATTCTGGGCAAGTTTCTCAATCTCCCTTATCTTCAGTTTCTTTATCTCTAAAATGTTGGGAAATAATACACACCTCACGTGGTTGTTGTAACAATAGAGCAGGACATGTAAGGGCGTGGACAGTGCCCAGCATACCAAAAAAAAACACTCAAAATATGATACCTGTTATTACCTTCTTAAGTTTTTCAATCTGCTTATTACGCACTAAAGTATTATCTATTGCCAAAACATCCACAGATTCTTCTTTTTCCAACTGGTACTTATTTACTCCAACAATTACTTCAGAACCTGTCAATTTCCCAGAGGAAAATAATATGTAGATTCTATTTACAAATAATTGTCTAACAGTAATGCTCTGATCATCACATACTTTTCTTTTAAGTTTGATATTTTTAAGCAGTATTCTTAACTCTTAATAGACATCAATAAAGATCAGCGAATACCAATATGGAATAAGGGTAGAAGGGGAAAAGACTAGTATATATCTGAATATCTGTAAGGGGAGGACTTTTATTATTCTCCCAGAGAATAATAAAATTTATAAAATTTTACTTTATTAATAAAACATTTTATTTATAAAATAAAATTTATTTTATTTTATAAATAAGAAAATTTACAACTTTCCCAGAGCTTCTGATAAACTCTCTTCTCACACTACAAAATTAAGGCAGTAGTAGCAGCTACCATCTAAGATTTATAAGGTAGAAGATAAATGTGCAAGAGCTTTTCTAGTAGTTTAATTCCCTTACAGCCAACCACTTTGAAACAAACAAACAAAAAAAACTTTAAAATTTATAAATGATAAACTAGAATTACAAACTCTGCTTTATAATGCTTCCAAATATATTTTATACATGTTTTCCCATGTGTATCCAGGCATGCAAAAATACAAACACAGAGAAGATACGTATAGATTCATGAGAAACATTTTATCCAAGTTTCACTTATCCATGACTTTTGTTCTACTAACTATATATGTTATCTTCAAATAGAAATTAATATTTCTTTTTAAATACTGCATTTCACCTAAAAGTTTTTCTACTCTGTCTCACCAGAATCTATTCTAGCTTGTCTTCGGGCAGCACATTCTTCAATTCGAAGCTTGGGTATTCCCTCTGCTACAGCTTTGGCCATCCCGCCCATCTCCTCAATTTCATTAATGAGCTAAGAAGAAAAATGCATTAATAAAACTAGAAGAGAATATGAAAATATTTTAATAAATAGTACAAACATGTTATGCTATGTAAATACTAAAGTTAATAAAATTATAAATTATTTCAGTGGTAAATGTTTCTTGAGAAAAGAAGTAAATTAACAAGAACACTGATTAGAAATTCTGCAGTGCTAACAATACTGTGTGATAGATTTGAAAGTTGCTGAGAGCGTAGATCTTAAAAGTTCTTATCACAAGAAAAACTGTGTAGTAATGGATGTTACTCAAACTTATTCAGATAATTCTTTAACAATATATACAAATATTAAATTCTTACATTGTACACTTTAAACTAACACAACGTAAATATGCATATTACATCAATTAAAATGATATTCTGTGTTTAAAATCATTTAAAAAGACAACAGAAGGGGGAGAGGACCCAAGATAGTGGAGGAATAGGATGGGGAGGCCACTTTCTCCCCAACAAATTCATCAAAAGATCATTTGAATGCTGAGCCAACTTCCACAAAACAACTTCTGAATGCTGGCGGAGGACACCAGGCACCCAGAAAGGTAGCCCATTCTCTTTGAAAGGACGTAGGACAAAATATAAAGGACAAAAAGTAAGACAAGAGTTAGGGACGGAGACCCGTCCTGAGGAGGTAGCGTGAAGGAGAAGTTTCCTAACAGTAGGAAACTCTCTCACAAGCAGGTCTGTGGGGAGTTTTGGAATCTCAGACGGCAACATAATCAGGAGAGAAAAAAAAAAAACCCACAGAATATGCGCCTAACTGCAACTGCCAGTGGAAAAGTAGCCCAGATACTTGCATCTGCCACCAGCAAGCGGGGGCTGGAGAGGGAGGCATGGGCTGCATAATCGGTGCTTAGGCTAAGGACCAGGCATGAATGCCCTGAGGACAATCCGAGGGAGCTAACATGAGTTGGCATCCCAAACTGTGGGATCTCCAGAGAGAGAAAAAAAAAAGAGAACTAGAACTTTACTGCGAAAGGCTCTAACGTGCAGACTGGCCTGCTCACACAACAAAGGACTGAGCAAATACCAAAGGAGAGCTAGTTGGCTGCATACAGGCCCCTACCCCTCGCCAGAGGCAGAGAGGCAGGCACGCGACAGCCTGAACCAGAAGGCAAGGGGCTGCTGCAATCTCAGCCCCAGAGACCAGCATCCTCCACCAAACTGTGAGCAGGCTCCCAGCTGCTAACCACGTCTTCCTGGGACCCTGGAGGCTGACATCTGCCAGGAGGGTCGCAGTCTGAGATCAGCTCCCCAGAGGAGATACACAGCACACCTCAGACAACGCTCTCATGGCGCACCCAGGAAACCAAGTGGCCAAGACCGGGGAGGTGATTAAGACGCACAGCCCACTGGGAACAGTGCGCTGGCCAAGCGCCTGGTCGCCTGAGCTGCTCAGACCTGGGAAGGGCACAAAACGCATGCCCAGCCGAGTCTGCGCACTTGCAGGGTATTGGAGAACCCGAGCGGCTCAGACCTGGGAAGCACATGCTGCCTTGAGCTGCAGCAAACCCAGTGTGTTCCATACACCGCAAGCACTCCCCACACACGCCAGCGACATTTGTTTGCAGTACCCCTCCCTCCCCACAACACAACTGAATAAGTGAGCCTAAGTGAGTGACCACCTTTGCACCCTTGTGTCAGGATGGAATTTAGACACTGAAGAGACTTGCAAACAGAGGAAGCCAAAATAAACAAAAGGGAACCACTCTGGAAATGACAGGTGCAACAGATTAAAACCCTGTAGTTAACATTGACTAAGCATTGGAGGGGGCCTATAGAACTTGAGAACAAGTGCAAGCTGGAACAAGGAGCTATCTGAAACTGAACTGACCCCACACTGCTCACAACAGCTCCAGAGAAATTCCTAGATATATTTTTACTATGATCACTTTTTAATTTTTTAAATTATTTATTACTCCTTTAATTTTCATTTTTATAACCTACGACCTTGCAAAAAAATAAAAAAGACCCTATTTTTAAAGCAAATTTCATATACATATTTTTTATAATTTTTATGATTGGTTTTGTTTTGTATTTTTAATGTGTATTTTTGAGAATCTAACCTCTACTCTAGATTTTTAATCTTTGCTTTTTGGTATTTGTTATCAATTTTGTACCTTTAAGAATCTAATCTTCAGTCCCCATTTTCACTTAGGGGTGTGATTACTAGCTTGATTGCTCTTTCCCCTTTTAACTCTACCTTTTCTTCCCCAGGTCACCTCTATCTCCTCCCTCCCCCTTCTCTTCTCTTCTCAGCTCTGTGAATCTCTCTGGGTGTTTTGGGCTGTGCAGAACACTTAGGGAACTGATTACTGACTAGCTTGCTCTCTCCCCCTTTTTACTCCCCCTTTCTCCTCCTGGTCACTTCTATCTCCCTCCTCCCTCTTCTCTTCTTCATGTAACTCTGTGAACCTCTCTGGGTGTCCCTCACTGTGGAGAATCTTTTCACCATTATCATCTAGGATGTTTTACCATGTGCTATATGGATGGGGAAATCTTGAGGCTACTGTAAGAATAAGACTGAAAGCCAGAGGCAGGAGGCTTAAATCCAAAACTTGAGAACATTAGAGAACCCCTGACTCCAGGGAACACTAATAGACAAGAACTCACCCAAAAGACTCCATACCTACACTGAAACCAAACTCCACCCAAGAGCCAACAATTCCAGAGCAAGACATACCACGCTAATTCTCCAACAATGCAGGAACATAGCCCTGAGCATTAATACACAGGCTGCCCAAAGTCACACCAAACCCACAGACCAAGTTCGATACATGAAACAGGGCACTCAAAGCTGGTGCATTGGGACAACCCAGAGGGATGGGATGGGGAGGGAGGTGGGAGGGGGCTCGGGATGGGGGACACTTGTATACCCGTGGCTGATTCATGTCAATGTATGGCAAAAATCATCACAATATTGTAATTACCCTCCAATTAAAATAAATTAATTAACTTAAAAAACCAAAGCAAAAACAAAATCAAGGAAAAAAACCAAAAAGACAACAGAAGAACTAACAAGTACATTTTGGAAAACACAACACCTCTCACTCGTTTTAGAAGCCAACTAAAGATAATTGTGTAGTCTTTAATTTTAGTTATATAAATAGTTTCCCTGGTTACATAAATAAAGACTCTAAAAAACAATTTCAAAATGCCATTTGATTTTTTGAAGAATAGAGTAATGATATAACTCTATCTTTATTGACATCAAGAAACATCTAAACCCTCAATCACAGCCTCATATATACATGAAATAGTGGAAGATGGATGGTGGAATGGGATATGACTTCTCAGAAAGGAGCAAGGTCAAACTGGCTTCCCCCTGACAAACTTTAGAAAGAGAAACCTATACTAGATTCAACAGAAGCCAAGAATCTTTTAGAAAGCCAAAAAGACGGAAACCACTTGAGAGTTTATAACTACCTTTTCCCTTTCTGTCGGGAAAACCAAAACTTACTAGACTAGAGAAGCAATGGACTATGAAACTTCAAGTGCCAGAAGAGGCAAGGATAAGATGTGCATGAAACAAAACCCTGCATTCTGAGTAAAACTGCACACAGAATGGTGCACAGAGGAAACACTGACAACATGGGATATACAAGAAAACTTCAGAAGATATAACTGTCCTCAGAAAAGGAAGAAGAGATTCTGTATTAATGAAACAAATGGTATGACATGTGAGCAGAAAAATTGGCATGTAAAAGTGACCTCTTAGAAATTAAAAACATGGTATATGAATTTTAAAGTACTTAAGTAGAAAGATAAAGCTGAGGAGTCTTCAAAAAAACAGAAAAAAAAAACACCTCAAAGATGCATTATAAGAATGTCAGAACATGATTTCTAAAGTTCTAAAAAAGAGAAACCACAGAAAAATGACAGGAAAAGAATTACCAAAGAAATAATATATGACAATTTCCCAGAGCCATGGAAACATGAAAAGTGGCCAGGTGAAAAAATGTCCGCCAAAGGTCAAGGACAATGTAGGGAAAAATACACATACCAAAGATCAACTGATACAAAAATAAAGAAGAGATCCTGGGTGAGAATGGCATCAGATTTCTGAACAGAAATATTGGAAGCTGGAATAAAAAGTAGGTGAATGCTTACAGATTTGTTTACAAATTCCCAAATGAAAAATTTCAAACCAGACTATCAAATATCAAAGTAGAATAAAGACATTTTCAAGCATCCAAACTTTCAAATAGTTCATTTCTTCATGTACCATTTTTAGGAGGTTCTCATAAGATGTGCTTCAGAACAACAAGGGATAATCAACAAAGAGACAGGATTCAAGATACAGATTCAACATAGCAGAGGTGAAAAGAATTCCCAGAGTAATAACAAAGGGAAGTCCAAGGATAGTAATGGTCCAGAGAGAAACCAGTCTAAACCAAATGAGAATTTAGAGGGCTTCAGGAAGGTTTTACACTGATAGATAATTATAACACATGAGTATTATGGTATGATAGCAAAGAAGGGGCAAGATCCAGCTAAAATACCACACCACCATACTAGCAAAGCAATATATAAGGTCTAAACCTGACTGAGTTAGGACAAACAGTATACACATGTAATTTTAAAATATGGAAACAAAAACAAACAAAAAATGTAGCTGACTCAAGGAAGCATGAAAACAAGTAAGTGGAAGACAAAGGATTGCTTATTTTATTATAGCCTTTTAACACTAGTTGTTTTTTTAACTCTTTGAATAAAATAATATAAATAAAAATATATTTTTAAAGTAAATGTTTTAAATAAAGTCAAATCTAAAATTCCCCTTTTCTCTCACTTTATAAATCCTAATACAAATCTATAAATGATTTCATTTATAAATCAAAAATCTATAAATCTTCATAAATCTGTAAATCTTGAAAGCAAAGTTTCAAAGAGGAGAAACTCACCTTCAAGGCAGCATCATAAATATCATTTGTGAGAGATTCCATCATATATGAACCGCCCCAAGGATCAGCCACTTTGGGAATCCCAGATTCTTCTTGAATAATGATTTGTGTGTTCCTGGCAATTCGAGCACTTTTCACAGTTGGCAAACCCAGGGCTTCATCAAAAGAATTTGTGTGCAAAGACTGAGTACCTCCAAACACCGCTGCCATTGCTTCTACTGTGGTACGAATGATGTTATTGTAAGGATCCTAAAACATTTAGTAAAAAGCAAAACAAGCCAATTGATATACTGTAGCTGTAAATGATGATACAATTAGGAGTGCCTGATGCATACTTTCTTTGCCAAAATCTGCCTTGGTCTTCAGAATATCAAATAAATTTAAACAAATTAGGAAACAAACTAGACTTAGAATTAAGAGCCCAAGTGTCTAGTCTGTGCTTAAGCAATAAAACATTGCCTCTTATAATCATTTGAAATATTAAATATTTGTTGTGCTTATTTTTTATCACCTAAATAATCTTCTATACGAGCATCATGAATGTAATACATTGTCTACTTAGATTATTAATATCCTTCATCTCATAATTCACTATTTCCTAATTACTGTATACCTTTAAGTATCTACTCTAATGAGGTGGCCAAAACTGGCAATGATTTATTAATAAAACAGATAAAGAATGGACTATGAGACAGGAAATATGACTTCTAGCTTATTCTGTTCCTAACTGTGATCTGGGCAAGTCACTAGACCTTTCTGAACTTTAGTTTACTTAGCTGTAAAAATGAGGGGATTAAGACAAAAATGATTACTGAAGTTCCTTCCAACACTGAAATCTGTATTTTTCCACTTATAAATACCTGAAGTCATATTTAATATGGATACTTCTAGTTTTTATTTGCTTTTAAATATATAACAGCAATGTAACTTTAAAGTTATAACTTATTTTTATTATATCAAAATAATTCAATACATTAAGAAAATGCAGGTTAAAAAGATCACCACTATATAACTTTAATTAAATGAAATTAAAATAGATTATCCAAGTGACAATAGTTTTTAAGTGGTTTATTCGCATGGATACTTACTTTAACATATAACACATATATAAAAAGTATGTATAGCACCAACTTTAATGAGGAAGTTTTGTGTTAAGAATTTTAATCATTAAAATTACTTAAGATGATATTAAATTATAACTGTACTTCTTCCTCATCATCACTTATTTTTTACTCAAAAAAGTAAAACACACAACCACACAAGTAAGCTCCATGCAAGCTAAGATTTAAATGATTTTATATCGTTAACCACTAGAGGGAGCAAATTTTATTATAATTTGTGTAAAAACAAACATAAAATATGCATTATGCTTCAGAACAATTGTGATTTTCAAACATTAGCAGAAAAGTTCTTAAATACATTTCTTGCCTAGGCCAAGTTGCTGAGAAGAAAACAAATGACTTCTTAAAATTCATACATACTTGCTCAGTAAGTGACCATCCTGATGTCTGACAATGTGCTCTTAGGAGAAGGGATTTAGAGTTTTTAGGCTGAAACATTTTCTCTATTAAGTGAGCCCAGAGTCTTCTCCCAGCTCTCATTTTTGCTATTTCCATATAAAAGTTCATTCCAATTCCCCAGAAGAAAGACAACCTAAAATAGTAATGTTAAGTCCAAAATCTGATTATAAAATGGAAAATAAAATGAATTGCATCATCACACACACACACACACACACACACACAAAAGCTCAGATTTTAATTTCAAATAACTTAATTTGAATTAAAAGCAAAGCATATGTACTTCAAAAACCTTAAACCTATAATAGAGGACTTATCTTTTAAAAGAACAAAAACAAATCTGTCTTGAAAATTATATTTACATTTTAAAATTATTTTTCAAAATGTGTCAGTTAATTATTTTCAGAATAGCAGGAACAAAATTCCTCTAATTTACAAAGAAGAATGGTCAAACTTAACTCTGAATTTTATTAATAATTAAAAAGTACTCACTTATTCCCTAAAAGAATCTGGTATATTTATATACACAAATTCATTTTATCAATATATTTTGCTATACACTCATAAAATAGTCCTATAAACTTTTTAATGTTGAGGTAATATTTGAGTTTAATTTACTCACCTTGGTGCAAATTCATCAATGGTCAGGCCAGCTTGGAGTCCAGTTCTACAGTACTCCAACCCATCTGCTATAGTATAGGCCAGTTCCAGAATGGCATCAGCCCCTGCTTCCTGCATATGGTATCCACTAATTGAAATTGAATTGAATTTTGGCATGTGCTATACAAAATAATAAAAAACACAACTTTAAGTAAAAATATAAAAAAGGTTCCATTAAATTTATTTTCTATGAGACAATGCTACTTTAAAATGATGTTCAATTCAGATATAACATTAACTGAAAATATTTAATGTTTAGTTATATTCATTTTTCAATTTAAATGGCTCATCCAATGAACCACAAAGGACTACATGTACCTGTTTTATTTCCTAGTGAAAAGGAATCATCAACAATTGATCAGCACCAAAAGTTAAACACTGAAATTAGTTGGCTGAGATTAGGAATGTAACCTTTGGCCCAAGAACTGAATGATGACATCTTTAACTAGAAACTGATGCCTCTGACCTCATAAGAGGTCCTAAGACCTCAAGTCTTTGGGCATATCTGCTGAAGATGTATAAATTTAATTATTGTTAACTAGTTATTAATTATCTTATTTGAAGATGAATAAGTACACAGTGGAGGAAAAAAAGAAAATGATTCAGTGCTAGTAGTGTATATGAAAACTAAACATGAAAAACACATGACTTAAAATTCAAAGATTTCACTTTGATTTACTATGACATTTAATGCTTAGGATATCTCAGACAGGTTCCTTCTACCACAATCACTAATCCACTATTCCCCTAAAATGTCATGTTAGGTAGGGTACATATCACACAGAACCTGCAGAACCAAAAAAAAAAAAAAAAACTATTATCCTTCCAAGAATTAATCAAAAATAAATAGTAAATAATAAGTCACAGATACTCATTTTAGTGAGTTCAGAATGTGAACTCAAGTCAGAGTGCTCAAATTCCAGTCATATCACTTAACTAGCCAGAGGACTGTAGGACTTGGTTTCTCAACCTTGTTATCCTTTGGCTTCCTAAAGTTTAAAATAGATATAATTCTACCTTCCTCATGGAGTTGTAGGATTAAAAGAAATGACTCACCAAAACCACTTAGTATTATGCCTATACATAAAGTATTCAAAAAAAGTTAGTTGTTGGTATGGTATGGATTAGCTGTATTTTACACTTGCAAATACCTTTTATAACTAACCAACAGCTCTTGAAAAACATTCATCACAAAAGTAATAAGGGGACTGAATTACATGACATTGACAGACTACTTGAGTACATTTAGAGTTACAAAGAAAGCAGCAAGGAAACAAACATGTGCTTCCCTACTGAGAGCAGTTTAAGAGAATTTCTGTAAGAGTAACAGAAATACTAGAATACTGGAATATTATTCAGCCTTAAAAAGGAAGCAAATTCTGACACAAGCTACAATGTAGATGAACCTGGAGGACATTATGCCAAGAGAAACAAGCCTGACAGAAAAAGGTAAATACTCTATGATTCCACTTACAAGTACAAACAGAAAGTAGAATGGTGTTTGCCAGGGGCCAAAGGGAGGGGAGAATGGAAAGTAATTAATAACAGACACAGAGATTCACTTTTGCAAGATGAAAACAATCCTGGAGATGGATGATGGTGATGGTTACACAACAAAGTGAATGGACTGAGAGCCACTGAATGGTTTATTTGGAAATGACTCAGATGGTAAATTTTACGTTATATGTGTTTTGCCACAAGTAAATTTTTTTAAAGGAATAACATAACCACGCATGGGTTAGCAGAGCAGTCATGAACAGGAAGATAGTGCTTAGGGTATTTGAGGCCCATAATCCAGATTTTCCGATTAATTTAGCCAATAAAGAGCTTCTGGCTTATGAAGAAAAAAAAAAAGTTTACAAAGTACTTCAATATAACATATTTCATCAATATCTGAAACTAGCACATTTATCACTTACATGAAGAATTATATAAAGCAATTTTGAACTTACAGGTGACATTACAGTCTTTCACAAGGTTTAAAGTCCAAGACCATAATGGCAGATTGCTACTATCTACCCCAAGAACCACTCTCCACTCTTCCTCTTGTATGTGAACCGTGCATTCAGAGAGCCACTGTGTTCTACATTTCCAATCTCCTCTCTGTGTGTCCACTGAGATGGAAGTGGAAGTTTGGTTCCTTCCTTCTGAAAGTTCACCTTTAACCAGAGGGGTGGAGTCCCTCTCCCCAAACAAACTCCGCCTCCCTACTTCCTTAACCATGAGTTGGCACGCTAAAAACAGACGAGAAAGCCAAATGAAAGGAGACTGCAATCCTTATGGCTCTGGAGCTTCCATATAACCAAGACCTTGACAGCCTACCTTCCAACTTCTCTTAGATGAAAGAGAACTTCTCTTAGTAACTTTTTACTTAAAGACACTGCTATTTGTGTGTGTGTTTGTCATTTACTGCTCAACTAAATCCTCCTATGCATGTTTGTAGAATTGAAAAAGGTGATAGGCATGTATAATTCTATACAATTCACATAGGCAGATGGAATCTATGGAAAAAAATAAAATGGAAAAGTATAAAGGCTAAATATCAAATGAGGAGAGTTGTCAATGCTAGCAACGGTACGAGAGAATAGCAATTATAAGAGGTAAAGAGATTAAAAAAAAAAAAGATTTGATGACAGAATGATTTGCTCTTTACTGTGAAATAATGGTCTAATTTTAAGGTAGATAAGAAAAGAGAATTGCCAACAAAAAGTAAAGTGTGAATGACGGGAGAAAGTATAAATGAATTACTTAGAGGAAATGAAGAAGCTGTTTCCCTGTGGAAGGATTGCTGCTAATATAGAAGTACTATAAGAATCTTCTTTTCCTACCACTCTGGGGAAAATGAACCTACTTCAGGGGTGAAATATTAGGGATCTTATTGTGGTTGCAGATACAAGTGATATCTTCTAATTCAGTTTTCTTGCAGAAACAAAGTTGCTATTCTGATTCCCATCTATCTGACACCAGTGTCTATTCGATTGATTCTGAAATGTGGAGAGAAATAAGAACTGTAAATAATGAGCCCTCCCTGATTCTAACAATTATCAGAGAATAAAAATTTTAACAATAAAGAAAATACAATAAAGGCCAACTGTTCAGACTCCTATAGGTAATGACAGACCATAAAACTAGTATATTAAAGACTAAAAAATAAAAGCTAACAATATACATGCAAACACAAATCCCACATCCTGACTATACTATAACTACTGCTCAGACTCAATTACCAAATTCAAATTAGGTTATGGCATTTTATAAAAATTACTACATTCTAAAAACTACAGTAAAACCTCTAATAACAAAGGATACCTTTGCTGTATATTGGAAGATGTCAGCAATAATTTTCATGGATGGTTCTGGAGGAAAAATATAAGTATTTCTGACCATAAACTCCTTTAGTATATCATTTTGGATTGTACCAGTAAGTTTCTCTTTAGGTACGCCTTGCTCTTCTCCAGTTACTATAAAAGTTGCAAGAACTGGAATAACTGCTCCATTCATGGTCATGGAAACTGACATTTTTTCTAAAGGAATTCCATCAAAAAGAATTTTGGTATCTTCCACAGTGTCAATAGCAACTCCAGCCATTCCAACATCACCACGAACTCGAGGGTTGTCTGAATCATAGCCACGATGAGTTGCCAGATCAAAGGCAACTGATAATCCTTGTTGACCAGCTAAATATATAAAGAAAAATTAGGTAAGATTAAACAGTCTGGCATCAAAGTAAACTGATTTTCACACTACTAAAAGTACTGATTCCTCTCATCACAGTGTACTTTGATAATAAACAATCTTTATGCTCAAAACAAACTTACATAAAGGTACTTTAGTTCCTAAGAATCTGCTGTTTCCCATGTACTAAAAAACACACAAAGTGAATTCCAGACTTCACTATAATAAAAAATAGAAGGAATAAAACATATTGATCTCATGTCCATCTGAGGATTTTTTTACCTTAACAATTTTTGATAGAAATATTTTTAAGATTCAAGGGAAGATATGGCTGTTTATATACAGTTAACATAATTTAGTACTTGTATGCTCATTTATTTTTGCTCTTGTCTTGGCCATTCAAATTTAATGGGAAATAGAATTACAAAAACCATGCAAGAAACTAAAATTTGTACCACATTATTTGTTTATTCCTTTCTTTGATCATCTCATGAAACATTTTCCCCTCCCATTCCTATCCTGATAGTTTTAATTAAAAGCTTTTCAAAGGCAAAGCCAATGTCTCAGAATTTTCTTCATATAACTTCACCTAATTCCTTTTATACAATCTGCATTTAGGTATTGTTTTATTTCAAGAATTGAGCACTTTATTCTGGGTTATCTATTTTTTTGACCATGTAAGCTGAAAAACATTTTTTTTTTTGAGAGTATAGCCTTGACTGCTAGATTATAAAGTGACTATTAGCTCTATAGAGATTAACTAGCCTCCCTTCAAAAAGCCAAGATGAGGAAGTGTTATGTTTGATCATAAATACTATGTCTCACATTAAAATCTCACCCTTAATATTGTCCTTATAGAACTTATTGCTCTCTTCCACAGTACTGAAACCAGCATACTGGCGGATGGTCCAGGGCCTGAAAGTATACATGGTGGGATACGGTCCACGTGTGAATGGCTTAATTCCTGGAAGTTCTTCAGGGAAGTCCTTGGTGTCCCGGCTGGAATATAAGGGCTTTATGGAGATCCCCTCTGGGGTGTGCCATATTAGTTCTTCTGGGTTTTTGCCTTTCAACTGCTTTTTAGCCAGGGCAGCCCATTCTGGATGAAGGGGCTGTTGCTGATGCAGAAGTCGTTGCCAGGTAAGCCTGGAGCCTGATGACCCTTTCAGCTGCCTCAGGTGATGAGGTGAAAGCAAAAAAAGCCGAGTCTTAGCCCTCAACATGATGGAACATGGAACACGCCAAACAATAACAAGAACTGACCTAGAAAAAGAAGCACAGTGAATGTATTCAAGAGACTGGCAAAACAGGAGCTTACTGGTGAGAAAGGAAAAGAGAAAAAAGAGTAAATAAGTATGATTTCATCTCTTCTCCTTTTCTGTTCCCTACATGTAATATTTTATAACTCTGGTCCCTCAAGTCGACAACTACTATCATTGTTCTAGTCCAGTCCTCTTCCTCAAGAGCCTCTTAGTTGGTTGTGCTGACCAGTCTTAGCCCCCTCTCATCCATTCTGCACACTGGCACCAACACAGAGATGATCATGTCACACTTCTTTGAAGATTTTTCAAAGGCTATGCATCATATAGAGGATGCAGCATAGCCTCCTAATAAATTTTTCACTCAGAAGGTTTTTATTTAACATCTGTATTATTACAGGCATTGTACTGGATGCTGGAGGGAAAAAGTGGTGAATAAAACAGGCATTTAAGCCCCCTTCGCCCTGATCCCTGCTTATCTCTCAGAATTACCTCTGCCTTTGACATCTACACATTTTGTATTCTAGAAATTCTGGATTACCTACAGTGCCTTCCGTGTATCAAAGTTCCATGACTTGCCCTTGCTCTTCCATTGACCTAGTAGGCACTATTTTGGCTAAGGCATAACCTCTGGTGTGCAGGGCTTTCTGTGTGACAGGTATTGTTTAAGGACTTTATGTAGAGCAGCAATTTTAATACTCAAAACACCAAGATATAGGAATTGATACTAATATTATCCCCATTTTACAGATGAGGAAACTGAGGCAAAGGGCTACTATTTAATCCTGGAAAGCAGAGCATTTAACTAATACATGCACAGCCTGTCCCTGAAACTACAAGCTGGATTAAATGGCCTCTTCAGTATTCCATACCACGAGCTCTGTTTCCCTCTTTATAAATCTATCATCTCCCACACTTCAATAGATTAGAACACTGCTTTTTATGTTCATATAAAATATACTTCTTTATGTTTTGCTTATGCAAAATATATATATATAAAATTTCATAGATATATATATACAATTCTCTTCTATTCTATAAACTGATCTAATATCAGAGCTATATATTCCTGATAATTACCCAGAGTCTTATACTATGTAACTAAGTCCAATTTCATCATTTTATAGATGTAGAAATTAAAGTCCAAAGAAACACAAAAATAAAGTAGCTTATCAAAATTCCACACAGAAAAGCAGTACTGAAAGTTCTGAATTATTTAACGCTTATCAGAGTCATACAGTCTCAACATGTAGAGCCTAGTATTTAAAAGGATTTTGAGTGGAAAATTTTATTAATATATTCATCACTCCCTACAATAAATAAAACAAATGAGTTCAAAATTCTATTTTCCATACCACTTCTCATCTATCAATTTAGTGAATTTTAAACAAAAATAAGAATACCCAACATTTGTTAGGGAATTATAGAACAAAAGGGAATCCAATTGGTGCGAGCATTAGCTGAGTTTTAATATTTAAAAAAGCAAACTGGAAACATGCACAAACAATCTCTGAAATGATCATGCCATTCCACTGAGGATCATTACTCCTGGAAAAATTATTAGATAAAATACACATTCCCTAGTACTTTTACTAATAGTTAGGAAAACTTAGAAACATCATCAATGAAGAAATAAATAAGTTCAGTATTTTAAAATTATAGAATTTTATGTAGCTGTAAAAATATGTTTAGGAATTAAACAAAACTAATCTTTGATGTCAGAAGTCAGAAGAGTGGTTATGTGTGGTGACTAGTTGAGAAAGGAAGAAAGGAGCTCTAGGGTGATGGTCTTGATCTGAATTCCTATTACACAGATGTGTTCAGTTTGCAGAAATTCATCACATTTTACAATTATGATATATGCACTTACCTATATGTATATTATACATAATATACATAAGTTAAATTTTTAAAAAAATTTTTTTATTTTAGTTGGAGGCTAATTACAATATTGTAGTGGTTCTTTCCATACATTGATTTGAATCAGCCATGGGTTTATATGTGTCCCCCATCCTGAGCCCCCCTCCCACCTCCCTCCCCATCCCATCCCTCTGGGTCATCCCAGTGCACCAGCCCTGAGCACCTGTCTCATGCATCACACCTGGACTGGTGATCTGTTTCACATATGATAATATACATGTTTCAATGCTATTCTCTCAAATCATCCCACCCTAGCCTTCTCCCACAGAGTCCAAAAGATTGTTCTATACTTCTGTGTCTCTTTTTCTGCCTCACATATAGGGGTATTGTTACCATCTTTCTAAATTCCATATACATGTGTTCAGTTCAGTTCCGTTCAGTCACTTAGTCATGTCCGACTCTTTGCAACCCCATGGACTGCAGCATGGCAGGCCTCCCTGTCCATGACCAACTCCTGGAGTTGACCCAAACTCATGTCTATTGAGTCGGTGATGCCATCCAGCCATCTCATCCTCTGTTGTCTCCTTCTCCTCCCGCCTTCAATCTTTCCCAGCATCAGGGTCTTTTCAAATGAGTCAGTTCTTCACATCAGCTTCAGCATCAGTCCTTCCAATGAATATTCAGGACTGATTTCCTTTAGGATGGACTGGCTGGATTTCCTTGCAGGCCAAGGGACTCTTTAAGAGTCTTCTCCAATACCACAGTTCAAAAGCATCAATTCTTCAACACTCAGCTTTCTTTATAATCCAACTCTCACATCCATACATGACTAATGGAAAACCCATTGCTTTGACTAGACGGACCTTTGTTGGCAAAGTAACATCTCTGCTTTTTAATATGCTGTCCAGTTTGGTCACAACTTTTCTTCCAAGGAGTAAGCGTCTCTTAATTTCATGGCTGCAGTCACCATCTGCAGTGATTTTGGAGCCCAAAAAAATAAAGTCTGTCACTGTTTCCACTGTTGCCCCATCTATTTGCCATGAAGTGATGGGACCGGATGCCATGATCTTGGTTTTCTGAATGCTGAACTTTAAGCCAACTTTCTCACTCTCCTTTTACTTTCATTAAGAGGCTCTTTAGTTCTTCTTCACTTTCTGCCATAAGGGTGGTGTCATCTGCCTATCTGAGCTTATTGATATTTCTTCTGGCAATCTTGATTCCAGCTTGTGCTTCCTCCAGCCCAGTGTTTCTCATGATGTACTCTGTACATAAGTTAAATAAGAAGGGTGACAATATACAGCCTTGATGTACTCCTTTCCTGGTTTGGAACCAGTCTGTTGTTCCATGTCCAGTTCTAACTGTTGCTTCCAAACCTGCATACAGATTTCTTAGGAGGCAGGTAAGGTGGTCTGGTATTCCCATCTCTTGAAGAATTTTCCACCATTTGTTGTGATCCACAGAGTCAAAGGCTTTGGCATAGTCAATAAAGCAGAGGTAGACGTTTTTTTGGAAATCTCTTGCTTTTTCAATGATCCAGTGGATGTTGGCAATTTGATATCTGGCTCCTCTTCCTTTTCTCAATCCAGCTTGAACATCTGGAAGTTCATGGTTCATATACTGTTGAAACCTGGCTTGAAGAATTTTGAGCATTACTTTGCATGCGTGCGAGATGAATGCAACTACATGGTAGTTTGAGCATTCTTTGACATTGCCTTTCTTTGGGATTGGAATGAAAACTGACCTTTTCCAGTCCTGTGGCCACTACTGTGTTTTCCAAATTTGCTGGCATATAGAGTGCAGCACTTTTACAGCATCATCTTTTAGGACTTGAAATAGCTCAACTGGAATTCCATCACCTTCACTAACTTTGTTCGTAGTGATGCTTCCTAAGGCCCACTTGACTTCACATTCTAGGATGTCTGGCTCTAGGTGAGTGATCACACCATTGTGGTTATCTGGGTCATGAAGATCTTTTTTGCATAGTTCTTCTGTGTATTCTTGCCACCTCTTCTTAATATCTTCTGCTTCTGTTAAGTCCATACTACTCCTGCCCTTTATTGTGCCCATCTTTACATGAAATGTTCCCTTGGTATCTCTAATTTTCTTGAAGAGATCTCTAGTCTTTCCCACTCTATTGTTTTCTTCTATTTCTTTGCACTGATCACTTGAGGAAGACTTTCTTATCTCTCCTAGCTATTCTTTGGAACTCTGCATTCAAACGGGTATATCTTTTCTTTTCTCCTTTGCCTTTAGCTTCTCTTCTTTTCATAGCTGTTTGTAAGGCCTCCTCAGACAACCGTTTTGCCTTTTTGCATTTCTTTTTCTTGGGGATGTCACGAACCTCTGAACCTCCATCCATAGTCCTTCAGGCACTCTTTATTTATCAGATCTAATCCCTTGAATCTATTTGTCACTTCCACTGTAAGGGATTTGATTTAGGTCATACCTGAATGATCTAGTGGTTTTCCCTACTTTCTTCAATTTAAGTCTGAATTTGGCAATAAGGAGTTCATGATTTGAGCCACAGTCAGCTCCTGGTCTTGTTTCTGCTGACTGTATAGAGCTTCTCCATCTTTGGCTGCAAAGAATATAATCAATCTGATTTCAGTGTTGACCATCTGGAGATGTCCATGTGTAGTCTTCCTTTGTCTTGTTGGAAGAGGGTGTTTGCTATGACCAGTGCGTTCTGTTGGCAAAACTCTGTTAGCCTTTGCCCTGATTCATTCTGTACTCCAAGGCCAAATTTGCCCATTACTCCAGGTATTTCTTGACTTCCTACTTTTGCATTCCAGTCCCGTATAATGAAAAGGACATCTCTTTTGGGTGTTAGTTCTAGAAGGTCTTGTAGGTCTTCATAGAACCGTTCAGCTTCAGCTTCTTCAGCATTACTGGTCAGGGCATAGACTTGGATCACTGTGATATTGAATTGTTAGACTTGGAAACAAACAGAGATCATTCTGTTGTTTTTGAGACTGCATCCAAGTACTGCATTTCAGACTTTTTGTTGACGATGACAGCTACTCCATTTCTTCTAAGGGATTCTTGCCCACAGTAGTAGATGTAACGGTCATCTGAGTTAAACTCACCCATTCCAGTCCATTTTA